TATAGTTAATGATCGGACATTCGGGATTTAATTGGAAACGGAAATATAATGAACCGATAGCAAAAATAAAATGTGAATTTTCATATTTTATTCTTAAAAATAATTTATGGTCAAATTATATAATACGGACAACAGGCCAGTCCACCCTTGATTTAATTAATACAAATCAAATTTGTATTAAATTTGCAATAATGTATGATACAGAAATAATAATAAAAAAAAAAATGTGCCAATATCTAATATGATCAATCACACTTTTCCACTTTACTTGCAGACAGTATGATGCGTTTTTCGATATCGTTCGTCCTATGGTTCTCGTCCAAATAGGAAATGGAATGTATACAGTAATCACATTGATATTTCTCACATTGCTGGTGAGTAACACGTCTCTAATTTTGTATGGTTTGGGTAGTTAATAGCGAAACGCGATAGCAATGCCAATAATTCATTATTATAATAATTTCCTAAACATAATTCGATTTAATTTTTMATCTAGTCGTATCTCAGTGGTTATTCAATCGCATCAGCACCAATTTTTAAATTTGTCTGTGCACTGGTTTCGCTCACCATTGAACTGTACATTTATTGCTATGGGTTCAACCACATAGAAGTCGGGGTAAACAAAAAATTATATTTTTTCATCGATCAACAATTTGTCAGTTTTGTTTTGTACGATTGTAATTTGTGTACTTGTTTATATTGTATAATATACTGTCTAGAAATCCACAGTGAATTTTGGATTATACAGCAGCAATTGGACGGAGATGGATTTGAAATTTAAGAAGACTTTGTTGATGGCCATGATCTTGAACTCTTCTCACAAGCGAGTGATGAAAGTGTCGCCAAATTCTTTCGTAAACCTGGAAATGTTCACCAGGGTAATAAAATTAAATACATTTTTCAGACTCATGGTCGAAGCATATATAGGTACTACCATAGAAGCATTCCTCCATTAAAAGCTTTGGGGGCTATAATAGGTACCTATATGATGGTTACATAATATAATCCTAACTATAATATTATAATATGTAGTTTGTATATTGTGGTCATGATTTAACATACCTATCGCTATATCAGCTAACACTAAATAATTCAATTGGAAGAGCTTTAWTTTTAATTCGATTATGTTTATTGTATTAAAGACATAAATCACCATTTATTAAAAAAAAATTAAAATGTTTAATATTTTTATACGCAARCRTTGTAAAACAAAAAACTCYTTTTTTGAGTACGACTGGATTATATTATTTTTTCAWGCAGTTTTGACTTAAGGTTTTTCCCATCTTAAAAATAAATTGACTTWGCAAAATACAAATTATATGAAACAACWTGTATATTGTTTGGGTTCGATAATCGACATTAAAACTATTAATATCAAAAATCTGTCAAATTTGGCAACCGCAATATTTGGAGTTAAGCACTATTGCAATATTGTACCTACCTATTTGTTTTCAAAATGTATATCTGCAGATTTTTTTCAC